TTGAATACGGACGGAAATGCTCGGGTTCTGAAGATGTAGGGGAGTAGCACGGATCTGATCGGTATATTTAGTTAGTTGTTGCAGGCCCTGAAAAGCCAAAGGGGATAGTTGACAAAATGTCTTGCGGTTTACCACTTCGCGTGCTGATCACCGGTCGACCAAGAAGAGCGGACTGCGTTTGGGGACAGCCCGTCTTGCGGTTTCTTCGCGTGCTGATCACCGGTCGACCAAGAAGAGCGGACTGCGTTTGGGGACAGCCCATCCAGTGTAGTGCAAGTGATGTTGGGCCCGGACTAGTTCGCCAGTCTGTGGAAGTAAGCTTTCTTTGGGGGGACTCTTCTGACACATCACTATACTACTGAAATTTGCTCGTTTCCAATAAGCATTTCTTGTTGTTTTCAGTGTGCTACCACAATCCTCTACGTGGTTATCGGTGAAGTCTATTCGCTCATCACATACTTGGGCTTTGTCATGTTGCTGGCTGTCGCCATCTCGATTCTAATAGTCATCATTTTCCGATTCACACGACCCACCATGGAAAGACCGGTGAAAGTAAGTCAACCAAAATCAAGGTCATTTCATATATCAGTTCAATGTTAAATGGGATTTTTGGTAAAACTAACACAAGGGATTTGAAAACAAGGGAGATCTGTTAGAATGTGCCAAAGTAAATATCTTCAGAAGTCTAAGAGATTCGTTTGGGATGTCGTGCCACGTTTTGTGTTTCGGACAATGTAATGAAATTTCCTGAGTTTTTGGTGCGACGTTTTCTTCATTTCCTTTGAATCCGGTTGAACATCAAATAGGTCGATTTTGTAGATTGTGTTGCGGATTGGGGGGGATACTCAATGAAGAAATCACAGGAAGAGAGGCCAAGCAACGCCCAAAATAGGATTGCTTCTATGAGAGAACAACCTCACAGAGGGAGAGAAATAATCCAGGCATATCATTCGCCTTCCAAATTAATTAGCGTCCAAGCCAGTCACATTTAGGCTCTCACTCTCTG